TCCTCCTCAGTTTCTCCAGGTCATTGCTTGATAGCATCATCAGATTGATGACAGTCTCGTTCGAAATCCTCATTTATTCATCATTCATATGTTCTTGTCTCATTCAATTATACAGATTCTCCGCAGGTAAAAAAGTACAACTTCAAGAATCCCTTTGTGCAGAACAAGGATGAATCATTCTAAAACATCGTGTATTAGAGGGAAATAATAAGCAAGTTTCCTGGGGTTCAAATTCCCTACAGAAATAATGTTCTGAATATTATTAAAAATACGAGCAACTCGAATATTAATAGACAGAAAACAATTCCTCGTTACTGTCATTCTTTGGCCTTGCATTCGCCAGATTGGACACCCCTTTGTCTCTATCATCTCAGGTCAGATCATCCAGGCCTCAGAAGAATCTGAAGTGACCTGAGAGGTTTTGCCACCGAGACTAAGCCAAATTTCAGGGTCCAATTCCCCTTTAGGGCACCTCCAAATAATCCTGTCTAATGCCTAATCCAAATCAGGATTATTTAACCTCCACCTTGCGTAAATTAATTTCATCATGATTCATTTGTCTTAAGACTTTTTAATATTTTTTGAAGCAAGTTTCTTGCATTATTTTCCCCACGTTACATTATCATAACAGCGACATCTTATTTCTCTTACAGCCAACTCAGAACAACCCAGAGACATTGAATTCACAGTGACGACACTCAACTGCGCTCACGGCGCGGAGAAACGGGTACGTCTTCATGTCACAGAACACAGAAAAGTAAACCAATGATGAAAAGAATTACCAGCGAGAAGAGATCAATGGGACTTCTTCGTGTTTTGGAAGAAGTCATCGAGAATCATGCCATTCAATATTACTTAGATCAGTGGTATTCGACCTTTTTTGTTCGCGTACCCCCAGATATAATTTCTCTTCAACTTTGTACCCCCCAAAGTTGTTGGTGTATAATTCAAGTTATACATAGTATAAAATCTACATATAAAATCAATTAAATAAATTACATTACTGATTATTCAGAGTTTATCATAAAATAATTTATTTTTTTTAAATTTCACGTACCCCCTAAGATCTCTTCGCGTACCCCCAGATATAATTTCTCTTCAACTTTGTACCC